TAAGCTTGGCAAGATTAAGGCAGGTAACTGAAAAACAAAAAATGCACAGCGGAGCAAATCTTCCACTTGCGTACGTCCAGCTGAAAACCCGAATCCGTAGAGCTTCAAGTCGAACATGAGCGTTATCTTGCTTTGGGCATGGATGCTTTGGTCATCGGATGCAGTCGAACATGAACGTTATTATGGTTTGTGCATGGATGCTGTGGTCATCGGATGCAGTCGAAAATGAACGCTTTTGTTTGGGCATGCATGCTCTGGTCATCGGATGCAGTTGAACATGAACATTATTAGTATTATTGGGCATGGATAGGCTGGTCATCAGATGCAGTCGAACATGAACGTTCTTATGGTTTGGGCATGGATAGTCTGGTCATCGAATGCAGACGAACATGAACGTTATTATGGTTTGGGCATGGATGCTCTGGTCATCGGATAGTCGAACATGAACGTTATTGTGCATTGGGAAATGATGCTCTGGTCATCGGATGCTGTCCAACATGAGGGTTATTATGGTTTGGGATGGATGCTTCGGTCATCAGATGCAGTGGAACATGAACGTGATTCTAATTTCAGGATGGGTGCCCTGGTCCTGAGTCCTGAGATGCAGTCGAACATGAACGTTTTCGTTTGGGCATGGATGCTCTGGTCATCCGATGCAGTCGAACAAGAACGTTATCATGGTTTGGGCATGGATGCTCTGGTCGTCATCCGATGCAGTCGAGCATGAACGTTAACATGGTTTGGGCATGGGTGCCTTGGTCATCGGCCACAGTCGAACATGGCGTGGATAGTCCGGTCATCAGATGCAGTGGAACATGAACGCTATTATGGTTTGGGCATTTATCTCTTTTGCAATAGAGCATGTGTGCTACTATGGTTGGGCATGGATGCTCTGGTCATCGGATGCAGTCGAACAGGAGCGCTATATGGTATGGCATGGGTGCCCTGGTCATCGGATGCAGTCCAACATGAACTGGTTTGGGCATGGATAGTTTGGTCATCGAATGCAGACGAGCATGAACGTTATTATGTTTTGGGCATGGATGCACTGGTCATTGGATGCAGTCGAATATGAACGTTATTGTGCATTGGGAAATGATGCTCTGGTCATCGGATGCTGTCCAACATGGGGGTTATTGTGGTTTGGGATGGATGCTTCGGTCATCAGATGCAGTGGAACATGAACGTGATTCTAATTTCAGGATGGGTGCCCTGGTCCTGAGATGCAGTCGAACATGAACGTTTTGGTTTGGGCATGGGTGCTCTGGTAATCGGACGCAGTCAAACGTGAACGTTACCATGATTTGGGCCTGGATGCTTTGGTTATTGGATGCATTCGAACATGAAGGGTATTGTGGGTTGTGCATGGCAGTCGAACATGATGGTTACAATTATTATGCTTTAGGTGCTCAGGTGTATCACGATGCCTTGCTGAATATACCTCCACTGCGTGCACATCTGTTAAAGTACATTGCAGATTTGTTGGCTTAAGTATTTGTTCAGAAAGTGTAGAATATTCCACGGCCAGATATGCAGGCGCGTGGTACTACTACTACTACGACTACCGACATTATGCTTTGTGCAGGGATGCCCTCGTCATCGGATGCAGTCGAAAATCCATGCTGTTATGGTTTGGGCATGAATGCTGTGTTGATCGATCGGATGCAGTCAAACGTGAAAGTTACAGTCGAACATGAACGTGACTAGAGTTTCAGGATGGATGCTCTGGGCCTGAGATGCAGTCGCACATGAACGTTATTATTTGGGAATGGATGCTTTGGTCATCGGATGCAGTCGAACATGAACGTGACTATAGTTCCAGGATGGATGCTCTGGTTCGGATGCAGTACAACTTGCATGTTATAATGCTTTGGGCATGGATGCTCTGGTCATCGGATGCAAGCGAACATGAACATCATTGGTATTCGGGCCTGGATAGTCTGGTCATCAGATGCAGCGAGCATGACCGTCATTATGGTTTGGGCATGGATGCTCTGGTCATCGGATACAGCCGAACATGAACACTATTTTAATTATGACTTTTCGGGCATGGATAGTCTGGTCATCAAATGCAGTCGAACATGAACATTACTATGGTATGGTCATGGATGCTCTGGTCCTCGGATGCAGTCCAACATGAGTGTGATTATGGTTTATGTGCTCGGGAATACACGAAAGGCTGTTGCGTCATACCGGTTGCGACGACGACGACAACGAGGACGAGGACGAACCGGCGTGCCGGTGGCTGGCTGGAAAACAGGAGGAAAAGTCTATAGAGCCGGAATGTCAGCCAGCTTTCAGGGCCAAGCAAAGGATTGCGCTCCTGTCCACCTGACCTTATCCGGATTCTCTGCAGCTAGAGACGAAGTGATGCAAGACCCTAGGCACCACTGTGATTTGGCATCTGGGGGACATGCCGTGCTGCTGGGTTTTCTCCGTATGAGGGCTTACCTCACAGCCGCCAGCTTAAAGTAGCAGCGTCCAAGGTAAAAGCCAATAGCACAAGATCCAAGTTTCACCAGCGTCAAGGCCACGCAATGCGACATTCGTCTGCAGCATTGTGAGTGAGTGAGTGAGTGAGTGAATGAGTGAATGGTTGTTGTTGTTCCTGTTGAAGAAGAAGAGGTGGTTCCTATCACGGATTTGCGCCGACCGACTTGAGCCAGACCGAGGCAGGACATGCTAGCAGCTAGCATTCCTATCATGTGCTGCGGCAAGAGCGTTGCCTGCCGGAGGTCAAAAGTTGATGACGTTTGTTGCCACCCTGCTCCCAAATGCAAAGCAAGGCGCCCACACCACCAACCACCAGCTCACTTTCCAGCTTCACACTGGCCCTCGCAAAGTTGCGAAAAATCCTGACAGCGCTTGACAATTTTACCATGGAAAACACCTTCCCACTACGAAGATGATGACAAAGCTTCTCCCAGTGCTAACAAGGTGCCGGTAGCCGTGGATTTGGGAATAGTGCTTGACAGTTCCATCGGCCGTCAGTGTCTCGATTATCCAAGTGTTCAGCACGGGTTGCCTAGATGATCGGCATGGCCGCAATACCACTTTGAATGTCACGTACAATACAAACCAGCAAACGCAACAAATCGATGCTGATAGTACAACCGGACATATGACATTTCAGCCAAGGTGCTCATTAACAATACTGTGGATGAAGGAAATTTTGCACCACTTGGGAACCCCATAATACTGTAAATATTGGGGTAGAAGGGGTGCAAGATTTCCTCCATCCACCAAAAGACAGGTCATGATGCGTAAGATTGCAAAAAAAGCAACAAAGCAATACCAGGTTTTGTAAATGAGGACATGCTGACAGAAATCCTTCCTCCTCCACCCAGGCACGCGGGATTGGGCATCTTCTCTGCTGTTGGGTGGCGTGCACCAAAACTGAAGTGATAGCCTCCAAGCAAATTCATGGATTTTCACGATGCTTTTTTGATTGTTGCTATTATTGAAGCCTTAAGTGACACATATAGAAAGATTGTGATCATGATGGGTCCCCTTCCTGAGTCAGAGCCGTTCTGGCTAGAAGATGCTTACAGGGACCAATTCTGAAAATGCTGCACATGATGAAGTCCGGCTCAGGACCCAGTCACCTCTTTTGCCGAAGAGTTCGCAGCACATTGCCACTTGCAGAACAGTTGTGCTTGCCTCCACTTCTTGTGAGAACGACTCCTTAGTACACACACATTAAGATCTGCACCAACATTTTGAATTGACCCAGGCGACTAACGTGTTCACCGACGTGCTGAATCTCCAGGATTTTACGCGCAAACCCTCTAAGAATCTAAGATCTTTCTTGTGCCGCTATGAACAATTGCATGAAACCTACTCTGTAGATTGGCAATATCCTGCATGACCCGGGTACCTCAACCTGAAGAATTATGACAGTGCAGTACACCTAGGCAGACGCAGGATTTTGCTCATCTATCATAGTGGATGGACCCAGCAGCAGGGCTTGCCTTTGCATGCGGCAGGTTGCCCCACGAGAATCGCTCCTTAGTGTACAATCCATGGAGTGTTTAAAGGATTTAGGATCTAGGATTAACAAGTCGTTCGGTACGAGGGTCCCATCAAACCATACGCTCCCACGAAGTACCGGACAGCCCTCACGTAGACACAAATTTCAAGTACCAGTTCTTGGTTGATATCAAAGCATTGCATTCTTTTAATGAATCCCAGCTTCGGGGGCACGTGACAAATCGAAAGATCCGAGGCCATAGCTAGGAGCTTCCAAACGCAGTCTCCCACCAGCCTCCAAAAAGGAGATGTGCCGCCAAAGCGGATTGCGTACTGGGGCTTAGAACCCTCTGAACGATTCTAAAAGCTGATGAGAAAAGGTGCTTTCCCTCACGTCATGCAGCCTTTAGTGGAGACAGCATCCACCACTCGATGGACCTTGGCCAAAACTTGTGCAACAAATGCAATCTGCAACTTTGCTACCTTCCTCGGGTTCTTGTGTGGCGACTCCATCTATGTGAGCAAGAGCAACAGTTTGAACACCGCTATTCTAATGCTCAAAGCTTGTAGTTGAAGCATGCTTGGGATGCCAGGCAGTCTCCCGAAATAGGCTACACGAGTACACCCGTCCCTCAAGCATCGATTGGTTCAAAGGCCCGTAAGAATGCTGTCAAACATGTGTCATCCCCACTCAGTCAGAAAGAAACCACGCAGCCAAAAACTGCCATGACATGCTATACAAAGCTTCAGGTTGGCGGCAACGTGGTGTCCACCTCAGGTGTCTCATCGGGTTCCAAGGTTCAGCCTTGAGGTTGTTTGGGTCCATCTAGTAAATTCGTGCTTTTGCCGATTTCTTGAGTCAGTTGCTTTACCCCACAGACACCTCCGGAAGAAGGTTGGAAGGCCTGAAGGACACCACTTCCATCCAGTGCCACACTGAAAACCCTTCCGTGGTTGCGACTGCCAGCCTCAGCTGAACACTTGTTATTGGGTTTCGAAACTACGCTTAACATGGATTTCTGCAAACAGATTCACACGCCGAGCATCTCGAAAACGTCGCGCCACGTGCTCACCAGCCACTTGCCCGCCTCGGCTGCAACCAGTGCAGTTGCTTCCACAATGATCCGCAGGTGTGTCCCGGCCATGACGGCACCCAGGCTGAGCTTCATCCCCTGCCGATGTGAAAAGCCAGCCGAGTCTGGTGGAAGATCTGGTGCTGCGTCCACACATGGGCTGGTCTCGTAGACGTGGGGAAAGCATGGAGCTGCAGATAGTTCAGGAACCTCGCAGGGGGCTGGTATGGGCACTTCCATGGAGATGCCAGGCGCCTGCACATAGCAGGAAAAGGGATGCAGCAGAATGCCAGGCGGAGCTCGGATCCAAACCTCATCTCCTTGAGCGAGCTCTGGATTGACAACGAAGTCCACAGTCACCTGACTGCGTGCTCCCTGCGCAGGGTTCTGGCACGCTACCGTCAGGTCTGCGAGCCAGCCTCGCCATCGCCACTGTGCAACCGAGAGAGATCCCACCACAAAACCGGGTAAAGGCTCCAAGGCGCCGAAGGTAAGCTGCCCATCCTGAGGACTTGTCTGCGCTCCGGCAAAAAGCTGCACCGTCCAGGTCTGTCGGTAGAAGGGAAGCTCCTGGGCATCTGCGAGCAAGCGGAAATGGTATGGCCGGCTTGCTGACCACGGTGAGGCAAGGCTCCAAAGGATCATCCTGAAGCTTCTCCATCCGCTTGGGGATCCCTCCGTCTGGCACGTCGTGCCTTGTGGCATGCCAGCCAGCACGTGTGGGTCACACATTGCGCTGACGAAGGGTGGTGGGTACAACACGAGTGCACCGGATCTGACTGCCACATCCAACGTGAAATCCACATCTACAGGGTAGGACTGTCCTCGCGGCGATGTCAGCGCCGGGGATGTGAAGGCCATGACGCCCAGAAGCCGTCTGACAGCAAATGTGGGGATGGGCCGTGAAGTGTCGATGCTCTCGCCATTCGCGTCCCGTGTCTTCACTGTCCACGTTGCTGATGTGTCAGATGTTGGCCCACCGTTGCGTACCCCCAGCGCCAACAAGTAAGCTGTGTTGCTCGTCAAAGTGCTGCTCAAAGGGCCTAGGACCAAGGCATGCGGCTGCCCTGGGAGCTCAGCACGTTGGACTTCACATGGTGTTCCTGGTACGATGGGGTTCCCATCTCCAAGGTCGTTGTTCTGGGCATTGAAAAGACCACCACCACCACCACCGGAGCAGCTTGGGTCGGAGGCCGAAGGAACCTGGACATAGACAGAGCCGCCAGCTGGCACCTCTGAGGCTGTTCGGAAGCGGATCATGCAAAACCCCGAGCTGTCTTCGTGAACATTCTGTGGCAAGAGTTGCACATCCCTGAGTGTGCGCAGAGCAGGGCCTTCCAGATCACCGGCGGCGGCGGAATCAACTTGCAGCTGCCAGCGAGAGCTCTGTGAGGAGTACTCAAAATCTGCCGGGGGATTCTGGACTGTGATGCTCATACGGTATGTCACGTGCGGGTCAACGAGGCTCTTAAGCGTGGCGCTTAGGATCCGGCCAGCACCCACGCATGCGACAAACTCAGGTAGCCTGGCTGCAGTGCTCCCGGTCGCGCCAGATGTGCTAGCAGTGCTGCTCACACCTCCGGGATCCTCTTGCAAAAGCTGCCCCAAAAAATCAAAGCTTCACAGCAAAAGACTAGCAAATCCGAATCGCATAATTGCGGTAATCCTGCCAGATCCCTGGAGGCTTTCCAAGCGCCTGAGAGGCAATCTGGTGGAGATTGGAAACCATGAGGCAAGGTGATCTTGACCTTCAGGCTCTGTGGAAGCTTCAAGTTGACGGGCCGATGGGTTAGGAGGGACTTCCGCTCCACGAGTCGAAGACTTGAGGCTGAAGGGGTATAGGGCAAAAGGCTGCCTTCAATTTAAACTGGGGCCAAGCAGTGGTGCTGAGTTTGACGCTGAGTGTTGACGGATGAATTTTGCCATGCGGCTTTGATGAGTCCAACTCGCGTTGTAGCGTTGTAAAGTACATTTTTTGTGGGAACCGATGTGGGCGGGGTTCCGACAAATTTGCTTAAGGTCGAGGGCTGCTGCATGGCCAGAAAGCACCAGCGAGATGGCAGTGTCATTAAATTCTCATGCTTCTGAACCACAATGTGCTTATGGAAGCAAGGCTTGTGCATACCCAAAGCACGGGATTCTTGTAATACAGACTCCATTAAGTAAGCCATCCACTTTCAAACAGCAGTGCGAAACTTATGTTCTGAATTGAACTGACGAAGCTGTCAACAGCCAACCAAAAGGTGCGTTGCTTTCAGGAATAAGCAGAATAGAAGAAACAATTTTTGCAAGAAGGTCCAGCTTGGAGCCCTCAGTGCATTTGCACGGAGCTATCAAAAGCCTCAAGCCTCAAGCCAATCTCTCTTTGGTCATATTGATGCGCCACCTGCGGAAGGATAGGGTCACAGCAAGAAGCTGCAATAACAGCATTTGCAATTCGAACAATCCGGTACCCTCGAAACAATGCAAATGCTGAGGCAGGAAAATCAGATCCGTGCACTGATGACTTGAACAAAGCTGCAAAGAAGAGCAACCTTCATTTAAAGGGTCACACTTTCGCCTTCCAGGCAACAACCACCCATCTGCTGCTTCCTTTTGCTCTTGAAAACAAATAACTCAAGGACGCGGCAACGCCTTACTGCTACGGAGAACCTGCCAATGCAATGATCTCTGTCAAGCATGGGTGTCTTGAGGACGTCCAGAGCCATAGTAGGGATCAAGTGCAGCAGGCCTGGCTCCGTGTGACTTGGCCAGACCCGATGTTGGCCTGTGCTGTCCGCTGAAAACCGCAAACAAGATTACAACGGAATGCGAGAGCACAAAAACAGGAAAATACACGCATGTGCAGTCTACTCGGCGCAGGGTTATACTACAGGACAGCTTAGGGACCTCCTCCTCGGCATTGCGCCATGGGTAGGCGAAGAAGAACTCATAGACGCTCATGGAGCCTTGGCTGCTTAGTGGGCAAACTGCCCGAAGGAATCAAGAATACCTTGGGATGCATACTTGTTTTGCTGCTCAACTAACACTTTTTAGAGGTCCCCATCCTTGTCTCAAAGCTTTGGAGGGCTGGGTGCAACTATGCCTCAATTAGCGTGCGCATAGGAAGCGAGATTTGCGACACCTTCAGTGGCTTCCCGTAAAAACGTGATGCCACTCGAAATGATGTTAACTATTACGCCGCCCTTAAAAAATTGGGGCTCCTACCGTACGCTGCACCAATTGCCCTTCCAAAGCATATGCCTTCTACAGTGCAGCAATTCTACTGTGTTGCTGAAATTCGTTGCTATCGAAGGGGTCATTTTTCTGAGAAAGTAAAGCCTTCACATCCAGATGAGTCTTTTACTCCCGATTGAGCCGAGACCTCAACTCCTGATTCATTGCCATTCTAGCAATGACGTCTGTTCCCTGTTGTCAGGTAGTAATATTATGAGATAATATGAGCCAGTGTCCAGATGGTAAGCGTTCTGAATGCCCTTGAAATTTATGGCACCAATTCTTCAGGGCACAACACAAGTACAAAACCGGGCCTTCATTTTGGCATCTATACTACTATACTTTATGCGGACCCCCACCCAGTAATAGCAATGATGAGGATACTGGTGACTGTATGACGGCCCTCTCATATTCCTCTTATACCAATGTTGCAGGGAAGATCCACCTATACTATACATAAGCCTAGATTATCCATGTGCTTTTCCATTTCACTCTCCATTAATTGGGACAATAGTCCTAAACCTATGTCCTACTACTCTATCATTATTGTCCTCATTCTTATTACTATTCCACCTGTTGCTACTGTTTATTTATTACGATTCCTGTTATACAAGCCATATCGCCAGGCCGTAGGTCTTGCCCCGTGGCGCTTCTGGATGCCAGCGCCTGTTTTTGGACTTTTGAAAGATCGGGTATCTTTTGAACTCTTGGGGGTCTTCTGAGATCATGGGGGTTGTTGGGAATCCCACCTGCACTCACAAAAGCCATGCTGAAGCCCTACTAAGCCACTGTAGTAAAGGAAATGGAGAATCACAATGAAGGTCTGGTTTTGAGGGCATGTCTGCTACGACTCTGAATGATCTTGGTACACATGGCAAGAATAGAGCCTGGGTAGCACACCGCACTTTTAAAAACAAGCTTGGAAGCGTGCAGATGAAAAACCATGCTAGTTATAAGGCGTATGGCGTATGGTGGAAGCAGCAGTAGCAGCCGCTTCCTGCAACCGCATGCTGGAAATGCAAGTCTTGGGGTGCATGCATCCCACGAGAAGTTTCATCTTCAAGATAATCCCTGATCGGAATCTTAACCTCTTGACCAGACAAGCAAAACGAAATGCTAGATGAGGAAAGCAAGTATTGGACAACCTGTGGATGCCTCAGTACACAAAGACATTTGCTAAATGACAAACTAACCACTGAAAGATCGAAGGGATACATCGGTTTGTCGATGGGAGTATCTCAGCTTTGGTATCAAGAGCACAAGTTCAGCACATCCACAGTGTGACCGATTATTTCGCGACAGCACTGGAGGCATTCTTTCATGGTGAGGACAGGTAACAGTACTCTGAATCTGACCCTAGTCTTTTTCTTCGTAAAGGTGCCCGGTGGAAAGTGCGACAAACAAAGCATGACCAAATAAAACAACAAGGATTCCTTCAACAACGAGCCTCCAACCGGAATCAATCTTGGGTCGTCGTCCCTACACCATCGATCCAGAGAATCAACATCTGCTTACATGCAGACGAGAGCTATCACCCCTGCTCTAGGATCCGTATAGAGGAAGCCATGATTTCCAGAAAGAACATGTGTTGTCTGCTTGGCTTATACGAGGACCTTTGAGACTAAGAACAAACCCCCGAATCCGACTCCTAGGCTCTCCCGATTCAAAAAGCATTTGAAAGTGAATAAATGCAACGCCCTATTACTGCCTGCCCTCCAATGCAATTCCTTCATGGACTTGTTGACTCCTCGATTGGTGTCGATATGCCGACCCCTAGAAAAATTCCACAATAAAACTGCACGTTGGAGTTAAGTTTCAACCCAGGTCCTGGTTCAAGGCTTGCAAAAGCTGGAAGGTGACAACCGTTCGCTCGCACTCTTCCAGCCTGGGGTCAACTGAATAGTGCTTAAATGCATAGTCTCAAAAAACTTGGGATCCCGAGCCTGATTACATCTCGGAAAAGTTCAAGGCTCAGATATTCGGTGCCTTTTTTGGGTGTGTAGTGTGTAGCCAATCCCTTTGCCCTTCCTCCTTTACAAGGGATGTTCTAGGGTCCTCCATTGACTCTCTAGGGTGTGCAGGCCCATTGTCTTGGAAGGCTTCTTGGCACCACATGGATCACGCAGGCCCCTCCCCTAAATGTACTTACGCCTGCTGATCTCTCTTGGTACTAAATGCTAAGAGCCCACAGTCCAAAGGCAAATGCTGCCAGTGGGGAATAAGGCCCTGTTTGAGCCTGGGAAAAGATTACAAGGGTTTCTATTTCTCTTCTACTCATAATGGAAAAGAAAATGAAGTACTGTGACGGTTCAAGGATACAGGGTTCCGGGCTCCCTAAATGCCTGTCATGATGTACAAGCTTTGTAATACTGGAGAAGCAAAGCTGCTTAAATTGCGACAAAGCCCGCTGGGCCTCAGAAGAATGTATTCCCAGATGCGAGGCTGTGAAGGGAATCTTGGGCGTGAGTTTTCATCAAGCATTGCCGCTTGGCAAGCTTGAAGTTGTTAATAACAGCTTGCGCTTTGATGCCTCACAAGACTGGGACTGGCAGAGTCCTTTCTCCCGGCCTGGATGAAGCAGCTATTCTTCTTGCAGCTTTCTTCTCTACTGCTCGACTGAGGAACAGCCCAAGCCCCAAATTTACGGCACCACGCATTCCCTCACACAAGACATTTCCAAACAAAGTCTCCGACCGTCGTATTATGGTAACCATCTAGTTGAAGGAAAGCACAGAACCTGAGACTGAGAGGGTTGCCAGCATGACTCTGACTGCTAGCTGGCGAAAATTCCGTGTGGAGAGTTTGGATGTATATACATAAACTGTGTGATGCCTTACTTCTCCAAAATGCTTTGCTTTTCATATGTCCTTTTTCTTTTAGCTGTCAATGTTGTTGCTGCTACTGTCACCGTGCTCATCTTCCCTCCCAGCGTGATCCGCCCAGTGGCTTGGCGAAGCCTTGGAAGGTGGCGACGTTCCAACGCGTCTCCGAAGGGGCCAGCGCCGGGTTAGTCAGGGCAATGCGGAAGCGGACCTGAGGTTTCATTCAGAGCTTCAAGGTGGATGTAAGTAGTGACTGTAAGGGTCCTTGCCTATGTAAGATCTTTTTTAAAAATAATGCTGTGGGTTGAAGTTGGTAGTAGGGTTCTCCAACTGGGCGATTCATCTAGGGATCCCGTCACGACAGACATCAAAAACGATGAAATATCTGGAACAAATTAATAGCCCATGCTACCCACTATCTCAGATGGGTGCCTGTACCGAAGTTGAGCTTGAGAGGACAAGGCACTCGTGGTGTGGGTTTTAGATTCTTCCAGGCTTTGCTGGGAGGCCTCTTGCTTGAGGCATTGCGGGCAATGATTAATCCCTCAATCCCACCTGGCTTCCGCGCGGCACAGCTGCAGCCCTCGCCAGCCGGATCACTGCAGTGTTCGTGAAACCCTCGCCTGGGCAGTCCACTGACGGGGAAATTCTCGAAAGCAGCGCGTGGGTTTGAAGCTAGTGGCGGAGTAAACGCCCAACCAGACGTGCAGACATGCACCGAGTATCTAAAGCTGTCTGCAACACTGACTTAGGCTCGTGGCTCAGGTTACAAAGGATTTGAGCCAAGTTTGCAATGCACGCCTTCAAAATCAGAACACTGGCGCTGTCACAACCTAGAATGAGATCTTAACCCAACTTGTGTAGGGTGGCCTCGCAAACCTGCGTCACGGTCAAGCCTCACACCAAACCTACATAGCCCTGCAAATTTTCATGTGACTCCCAAAGAAACAATTCTTTCAGATTCCTTCAAAGCTCTACCGTCTTAAGCCCTCCTACTTTCGCAGCCGAAACTGCAAGCGGGCCGCATGAGGTGTATGGCAAGGATGTGATGACACTAGTAGCCAGAGCCTCCTCCAAAGACGGAATCGCATCCGAGACCTAACAGGCTGCAACCATTTTCGTGGTGGCTCTGAAGGTGATTAATATGTGGTTCGGATTGTGCCTCCAGGCTTGGGACGGCAGTGGAGCCCAGAGCTTCAGCAATTTTAATGTGAGTAAAGCTGTAGTCCTATCCTGGTAGGGATCTAGGCCTTGAATATTGGGATTGTAAAATTGGCAATCATGGGGGAATGTCGCTCCTACCATCATGACCATTGGCATCCAACTCAAAGGTAGCGACGTCACACCTGCCTTCGTCGTCGCTTGGGGCTTTGAGGTCTTGCGCAAAAAGCTGAGTCGACACGACTAGGGCGACTTCTCTGGCACGATTCCAATGGCAAGGTGGTCTCTGTTGGTCCTAGCTTTCTAGTGTCCTGATCCCATCTTGGTCTAGAGTCTAAGGTTTGGCCATCGTATGGAAGGTTTTCCATTCTGGGAGCTCCTCTTCTGACCGTTGGATATGCATGCCAACCCTGGTGCCTGGCAGACCGTCGGGAAGCTGAACCCCAAAGGCGCCGTCACATGGATGCTTCCAACGGAGGTCTCGCTGGTGTAGATGCTTTTGGCCACCAGAAATGACACTGTGACCTGTTTGGCTTCTAGTAAATAGTAGGGTGGTCTTCCCTGAAGGGTCACTAACAAAAGGCTTTGAAAAATTGTAGGTAAGTACGTGCACATCCAGACCTCATGATACTGGTACCTCCAACCTCAAGAAGGACGCTCAATGACCACAAGTCTTATCCCAGTCAAGGCCCACCTGGTTCTGCGCCAGGAAAACTTGCGTGGAGGCAGTGATGTCACAGGCTCGCAGAACTTCCAGAGAGCTTCCCTCGAAAGCTCCAGCTTCTGCTCGGCCAGCCAGGTCTGTCAAGCCTGCACATACTGTTGTGACGGATCTGACCCTGATGTCAAACGGGGGTGATGGGGCGTGTATCAAAACGGGACCATCGGGAACCCTTTGATCCGGAGCATCTGGAACTGCTTTATCAGGCCTGGAAAGCATATGAGTACGGCATGATCATGGAGCTCACCGATCAACATGCATGGTCTGGAATGGGCACGGATCAAAATTGATGGGAGTGGAACGAATTCGTTCATAAGGGGCCATCCAAGACAGGTATGGAGAGTTTTTGAAGATGCAGGCAATTGATTCGCATGAGACTCTGGGGACTGACGTCATGGTCAAAACCAACATTAAGATGAGCTGCCCTATACAGTCATCATGCTGGCTTGGTCGACAAATCGCGAGACAAAGTGCAAGCCTGAAGACATGATCACCACCACGTTCCAGCGGTTTGGCTTCGGTTCGTCCTGGGAACTTGGCGACACCAGCGCATTCTGGATCTTAGCACGGAATCCATAGAACATGTTCTCCAGGGCATTGTCGGTGATGGGCAGCATTACCTGTTCGCTCATTGGAATGCTGGGCCCTCAGCAATGCCCCGCCTCCAATGTCGCAGAAGGTTTGAAGATACTAACCGTGTAATCACTGCAGAAACGTAGCTGCGGCCACCCCCATTGAGGATCAAGACTCTCAACAAGCCCTCAGCCTTGCATCAGAATGAGTTTTGCAATCCATACCCACTCTTCCATCCGCAGGGAAACGGACGATTTGGCAGCTTCGTAAGTACGACCACGTTGCACAACCATCAAATACTCTACTGACTTGCTACAAGGACACAGACCTAGGAACCCGCAGCTTCACATGCTCCTTTCCGGGCAGCCTCATGGGGCCGAGCGGAGTTGATGGTCGGGACCCCGATAGGAAGCGTGGCTTCCACGCCAGTGGACTCTGCATCCACATCCTCTGGTTGCTTCAGAGCGCACAAGACCATTGAGTCTCACATTGGTATTTATGGAACCTTTACATTCCTTTTCAAGTCAGACCCAGCGTCGATGTTCGAAACAAAAATGTAACCGGCCGGGCCCAATATGTACCTCACGCAAGCCAGCATGAGGCTTTTGGGGAGGTGGTTGATCCATTAACTCGCAAGGGAGAAGCCATCACCAGGCCGTTGACCCTGGCAAAATCCTCTGTCACAGCCTCCCCATCCCGATGTTGAGTCCACTTGCCCTCTATCAGGTCAGATGGATTGTGATCTAAGGAATTTGCGAGGATACCACTGCAACAACACTGTTACAGCAACTACTGGTTTCTGTGCTGTTGGATGTTTTGTTGCAATAACGAAGAGAAGTTTGGCAACCCGCACATCTCGCTGCCACTCCAGACGCGACCGGCGAATCGATACGCCAAGCCGACGAAAGCCTGACAGGAACCAGGCCCTGACTGCTTTGGAGATGGGACTTTTGCATGACCCTGCCAATAGGATATCACACACGACCTTGCATCATGAAGTGGGAGGAGCCGCTGCCGCGACAAGGCCTTCCCGTGTCTTAGTCCATTCACAGCTCCTAGGCCTTTCCTCGCGTCATCATGAACTTTTCCTGGGCTATCCAGGTTAGTCCAAGATCTTCAGGGCTCTGAATGGAATCACCCCAACTTCACAAAGGCCCTACAAGGCCACAAGGGCTCATTCATCCACATGGGATTGCTGAGGAAATAATTTGGACTTAGGCATTGCTTGACAAATGGTCATGATCCCTTGGACACTGGGACCATCAGTCTACCCAGGCTTCCAGCTCACATTGAGGAGACCATCCAAATACTGCCACACGTTCTGCTTCTTTTAAGCTTCAGATGCTTGGGGCCAGGGCTAAAGCTGCTGCACCTTGCAGGCTTCGTTATCCAAGTTTTAAGTCGCCTTGCTAACACATGCCAGAACCGAGGCCAAAAACAGGCAAACGTGGTAGTGACACAAGACAACATCTTGGAATTGCAGAACATGCCCCTCCTACACCCACACCAAATGCAACACAACCTTGACACTGTCTATGTCCCATGCACCAACCCTGTGCTTGACACCCTGTGAATGCCCAAGGAGAAACCAGTCGTCAAACAAACTCCGAAAATAACAGGCATCAGTGATCAGAGTCTTCTTGAAAATACTTTACACCCATAGGAGGATCCAAAAAGCTCACTCTTTATTGAGAGCCGACAATTAAAGCTACTTCTAAGCTACTTTCATCAGCTTCCGACTTCCGAGGACGGTCCGAGGCAGGCCTCGGCCCCTGGACCAAAGCCGCTGAACTGCACGTTCTGGACCTGAAAACAAGGGAAACTACTGTAGTACATTGGGTGATATTGGGATAATGGAA